GAGGAGGAGGAGGAGAAGGAAGTCAAAAAATGAAAAAGGCAAAGTGAGAGATAAGCATCAGAAAGTGGACAGGTGAAAAACAAAAAGGAAAAAGAAAAAAAGAATAGAATTGGGGGAAATATTTCTTAATTTCGCGCTCGGCCGAATAACGTGGAAAAAGAGGAATGAAAAGAGCGATGAGAGTTCGCCGAAAAGAGGTTCGTCCTGCGTGTCACGCTTCCTGCCGCGCGTCACGCTAAAATAGAAATAATAAAAGCCACGTGTCTGACGGTATTTCACGCGTACTCGTAGACCGCGAAATTGTTTTGCGCGAATTTTCCACGAATTACGGTGTTATCGCGGAAGGAAGAAAGAAATTGGAACGCAAGGTGTATATAACGATTAAACAATTAACTATACGAGACTATTCACCATTCTTTTTCTCGCTTTTAACGGGAACAAAATTATTGTCGATCGATAAGATATACCACTCGAGTTATTATTATTATTTTCCTTTCTTTTTTTTTTTTTTTTTTTTTTTTCTTTTTTCTTTTTTCTGTCATACGAAACAAACAGAGAGAAGCATCGAAATGTACGTGAAATATATCATTAAGTTTTCTCGAACGTGACATCAATCGTCGACAAGTTAAAACACGAAGCCATCATTATATTATTACATTTATTAACATTATAATTATTAATTTTATTCTCGACTATATATGTATTATACAATATCCATCTGTCAGTTACGTCAAAGTCAGCTGGGATCATTCCATAAACACGTTAATGTATGGACAAAGGGGTATATGATATTTCGGGAATACGATGCATTAGAAATGCCACTTGTTTCATAAATAATCGTATAATGTCACTCGTCATATGTATGACATGAATATTATCGTACGTTGATCGTATTTATTGTTATAATCGTATCGAATATAACGATCATGAGATTTTCTCTCTCTCTCTCTCTCCCTCTCGTGAAATTGTAATCCAATGAAAAAATCATTAGCCAATGGAAATGACGTATTTGATAGAACGATGCCCGCATGTATGTATGTATATCGTCTCGTTTGTTATACGATTATAGTCAAAATGAAATATTTCGCGAAAATATATCGAAGTTTTTGTTAATAACTCTTAAAGAAAAAAGATATATATGTTTTTTTTTTTTTTTTTTTAGACAAAAAAAGGAAAAGAAAGAGTGAGAGAGAGAGAGAGAGATAGATAAATCGTTACATATAAATTCCATCAGAAAATTTGTGTAATCTCGCATGCTTTCGAGAGTGGCCACGACGATGAGGTACGCCGTTCGACGGAACACGCGATTGCTTTCGGACGTCCTGTTAAATATTTAAAAGGATTCCTGACCGGAAACGAATCGCTTATACCACCGGAATCGTTGCCATTGTTTTGATAAAATTTATAAAATAATACATTTCTTTAATTCGCGTGGAACATTTTACAATTGGCCAAAGCATACACCTTTAACATCATAAATTGATTACTAATTTCATACTCGAGATAATAGTTTCATTTTCTAAATTATATAAGATCAATTTGATTCTATCCTTTCTCGATAGCTTTCTCGTTATCCTCCATCTTTTTCTTTATCTTCTTCTTCTACTGTTCTTTTTTCTTTTTTTTTTCTTTTTCTTTTTTTTCAATATCAACAAATTGTAATTGACAATTTACGTTTGTAATTACACGAATATTGATACAGCAATAGATTTCTTTTTGCTAATATAGTAATACAGAAAAAAAAAAAAAATTAGTCCGTCGTTTTTACGAGAAATTTCGTAATTTTAATGTTATTTATTTATTTATTTATTTATTTTTTTTTTTTTTCTTATTCTTCTTATATTAACTATTTACATTGGCTTTGATTGATAACTGATCATAGAAATATACATTTCAATTTATTTCCCTCAAATTTATTATTGATTTCAGGATAACGAGTTAATGAAAAATAAATAAATATATGTATATATATATATATATATATATTTATTTATATATTTTTTTTACATAGACACACACACACACACACACACACACATATATATATATATATATATATTTGATAATTGTAAATCAAGTATTAAGAACAATTGTGATAGTTCTTTAATGGGCAAAGCGAAACACGAAAGCAAATTTTGGTCTATCTTATCTCATCATATACGAGAGAGAAGCTTTCAAAGACGTTAACCGCATTGCCGTTTAACGAGCAAGGTCATCTTTCTTCTCTTTCTCGTTGAAGGTTTTGAAAATACCGCTCGAGGTCTCAGAGCGGAATTGAAAACCACCGTTGGTCTGGGGCACTATGTTTACTTTGAAAACTCTCACGTATGTATTCGTTCGAAACGAATGGTTCTCGTGTCGGGTTTACGAACGGTTTGGTCCAGCTAACCGCAGACTCGTGCTCAATGTAACGCGCGTGCCTTTCCTGAATCTGCAGGAAAAAAAAAGAGAAGAAAGAAAAGAAAAAAAAAAAAAGAAAAAAAAAGAACAAAAAAAAAATAGATCCTTACGAGCTTTTAATCTAATTTCAATCTCATACGATTATTTTAGCCTTAACTATTAATCCTTAATTGGATTGACTTATTAGCAAGTCTTGTTTGTTGTTGTTTGTTTGCTTTTTTTTTTTTTCTTTTTTTTTCCTTTTTACGATTTAATCGTAAGATAATCGTACGGATAGCCGTAAAAATTTGTTATTTCCACAATTGATCCCCTTAAAAATGTTCTTATTAATTAATTAAAGCTATATAAGTAATAATTAAAGCTATTCGTTCGTCCTACAGATTAATATATCTTGAATTTTATAAATATATTTTTGTCGAATTATAATTATTTTAAGATATCTCATAAACGATAGAAAAGTATAGGTCTCTTCTAAAAAAAAAAAAAAAAAAAAAAAAAAAATAAAAAAGTAAACCTATTGAGAATCATAAAGATTAGAATAGGGAATCTTCAATGATATTCTTGATCACGTAATTTCTAAAAGATATCTGATAAATCAAAACTTTCGATTAGAATAATACATTTCTCAAAACTTAAAAATACACGATATGTCTATCTTGATATTCTCGTTTCTCTGTCAACTGACAGTTGTTTTTCTTTCATTAAAGATAAAACGTAGCGTAAGAAGATCACTCAACGATGATCGAATTATTTCTACTTGTCGAATAGCAAATAAAGAGGATTTCGAAAGAAAATCGTTCGTACTTTTCTCTCTCTCTCTCTCTCTCTCTTTCTCTTTCTCTCTCTACTTCCAATTATCGATTAAATCGTTTAAAAATTTACTACGAAGAAACGTACGGCAACAAGAGTATACTACGATCGTCGAATGAAAGACAAAAATAGAAATAGAAAATAAAACGAAATAAGAGAGATCGATGTGTATGTATACTCTCGGAACAAACTGATACCGCACGTCTGTTTATCTTTAATTTCTCAAGGACAATTTAGAATTTCCAAACGTATATAAATAGTACGTAAAGGTCACGACGAAGGAAGAAGAAGAAGAAGAAGAAGAAGAAGAAGAAGAAGGAGAAATCTGTTATAAAACAATATCAATTTTTTTTTTTTTCATCTTTTATTATACGTAAAGGAAACGAAAGAAAGAGAGAGAAAGAGAGAGTACATTAAATGACAAGTGATAATATGTATATTTAAAAACTAAACATTGTCTTTGGAATTTCCGGTATGTTGTTGATTAGTCGGCTCGTTTATCCTTCTTTATCTTCTTTACACGTTATCCGAACGAAGAGAGTGGAAGGACCATAGTACTCAGGCCATATCGATCGTCTAGAGAGCTTTGGTGCTTTAGTTTGAAAGCGTTCACGACAAAAAAGGTCTGACTATGGAAAGGGTGCAGTGTACGGTTAGTTCTCTCTCTCTCTCTCTCTCTCTCTCTCTCTCTCTCTCTCTCTCTCTCTCTCTCTCTTCTTTCTCTTTTGCTCTCTCTCTCTCTCTCTCTTTCTGTCGGAGAGACCAGCTAATGTCACGTTAGAAACGCCTCGCGTGTGATTTACAGAGAATCCCTTTGTTTGACCCTCGCTCTTCACCCCCCCCCGGTCACCCACCCCTTCTACTCATTTCCCTTGGCTATTCTTCTCCCTTTGACTACTCCATTCTTTCTCTTTCAAACCCTGTTTAGAGTTTTCGAGCCTTTTTCGTTCGACGTAAAGTACCATGTTAAAAATTTCAACGAGATTCGGAAATCAAATTGAACGATTATCAATCATTAAACGTTTCTACACAAACGTTTTTTTTTGTTTTCTTTTGTTTATTTTCCCCACTTTATTCCTAATTTCTATTTTTATTTTTATTCATTTTAAGTTTTTTTTTTTTCTTTTTTTTTTCATTTATCTATTCGATAAATAGTAATCATAAAAGGAGCAACAAAGTGAATCAAGTTATACGGGGTGGTAATGGGACGGCGGAGAGGGAGGGAGGGAGGGAGGGAAGGAATGACAAGGGGTGGAAGTAAGAAGAAAGATGAGAAAGGATTAAGAGATCCATTACATTTAGAGAGTTCGTACTACTAATTCGCTTTTGAATTCATGTCGTGTTCATCGAGTTCTCTCTGTTCGTATATAACGTTGGAAAATTTAGATGGAATATAGACACCGTCACTATTGCAGTTAATTCACAATGTACATATAAGCAAAGAGATATAAACCCGCACAGACAGGTCTCTGCGAATTCGAAAGTTTATCGGCTCTACTGTCTCTCTCTCTTTCTCTCTCTCTCTCTCTCTCTCTCTCTCTTTCTCTCGCGCGCGCGCTTTCTCCCTATATCTCACCCTTTCTAAAGTTTCAAATAACTCATAGTTTATATCGAGTGTTTCGAGTCGATGGTCTATCCTCTGTAAAAGATATTAATACATTCCTGTTGCTCCCTTAAATTCTACAAGAACATAATGTTTATTATTACAAAATCTCTCTTTTATTTTATTTATTTATCTCATGAACTTTATCGAGTTCGTTTTTAATCTCACCTTTTTATTTTTATTACAGTCACTGGCAGATATTAAACGTACGATTTCAAATTGGAGAAGATCATCATGAAAACCTTATTGATCCTGGTCGGTCTCCTACTCGAAATACATCTTTATTTTACAGGTATGTAAAAGACACACATAAAAAAAAAAAAAAGAAAAAGATACTATTATATAAATAATATTATATTATAATTTCTTGTGACCCATTTTTTTCTCTCTCTTTTTCTTTCTTTTTTTTTCCTTCCCCTTAGATATATATATATATATATATATATATATATATATATATATATATATAATTAATGTTAAGCCGTCAAAAATGATAATAAAATGAGAAAGAAGCAAGAAAAAAAGAAAAAGTAAGAAATGATTAAAAAGTTCAATTGTTATTATATAATTGACGTTATATTATTTAAATGAAAAATTAATCAGTACGTATCGATGATGAAAATTGATCTTCCTTATTTGTATAAATCGCTAATTTGATATGCATACACGCAGGCCAATACACTTTCTTAATTCTCTGCTTTAATATTATAGAGATGGCTGACAAGTAATTTCCGGTTATCATGTTGCCGAGAACCACGAGAACTTTTACCTCGTTAGCGAGATGGAAATTCGTAGAGGGCACATAAAGCCTCTCTCTCTCTCTCTCTCTTTCTCTCTCTCTCTCTCTCTCTCTCTCTCTTTTTTCTAGAGCGTACGTGGACATGACTAGATTAGATCGGATTAGATTTCTTCCCGATATTCTTTTCGTTCCTTCATTTTTTCATTTTTCTTTTTTTTACGAGTATCTTCCCGCTTTACAAGTTTTCTTTGTTC